GAGAGAGTCAGTCGACATTCCCCCTCTGGACCAATGCTAGCATTACCAGGGGAGTATTTTCCAAGGCTTGAGGTATCAGCCACCAACACGGATGATGCACCGGGTACATTGCACCCACAACAAGGTTCAGCAGGTGTGGGGCCCGTCCGGATGGGCAGGCATATGCCTCGTGCTACGAAACCAGCCTATTGACCAACGAGCACTCTGCGCCCAGTCCTGTGATGACGGGCAAGTAGGGGAGTGAGTCGGAAGATGCCCACATAAGAAATTAAGCTCATAGAAGTATGAGGCACATTGGCTCGCACGGCAGAACCTCAGTGGTGAATCAGCGGTGAGCTTTGGAATTTGCCGATCCAGGCAGATCGGCAGGGGAAACTGCCGATCTGCTCAGATTGGCTGGCAAATATAGGGTACAAATAAATACTCGACCCAGGTTCGGGTTGACCTGACCGAGGCCCTGGTTGAAAATGACCCATCTGTAAAAGGCTGGGTCAGGAACATTGGGTCGGGTCGGGATGGGTCTGTTGCCGAACTCTCCACATAAGCCTCACAACAAGGTCCATGCACAAGGGAGTTGTTGAATCCTCCATACATGGAAGGAGTGAAAGCGAAAACCTCTCAGATTAGACTTGCCATGAAAAGAAAAGTCCCAAGAAGACCACAAATAACTTCCATGAGTTCCAGCATACTCTAAGACGCCATTACTTCCTGATCGAGTCTTAGCTCCACCAACCACTAATAAGCCGCCTGTCTCTGAAATGGTAAACGCTAAGCTAATCGTGAGCTCACCATTTTTTCTCATGAACCATCTTCCCGTCAAATCCGCTAGATGGCAATTCTTATGGCCAGTCTGTTCCAAACGCTCACTCATTGCCAGATGAGCAAGATATACACCAGTATTATTGTGAGCATAAGTTTTAATCCAACCAGCCCCGGTTTCACTTGTGACTGCATACATCCCTTTTGAGCTAGGAAACCTTGCCATTCCCCTCTGAATCTGCAACGTGAGATTGGGATCTTGTATTCCCCCTTGGAGTAACTGCTGTAACTATGATTTCGCGTGCTTATCCCTGACGCAATCATCTCCGTCTTCTCTAAAGCTCTGTTGGTAGTCACAGCCTCAACTATGAAGAAATGCTAGGCTGTCAGGCCCCACTAGTGGAGCCTCCAAATTGTTTTCTCATGTGCATGGACAAACATTTTCAAGGGTTGTGATGTTGTCCATTTTTCACTCACGGTCTAAATGTTAACATTTGGTCATCCTAGCTCAGCGTCTCGAGCACATTTGTCTATCTGGTGATCCACTTCAGCCTCTTGTCATCGATCTGCAAGCTATACTTTTCACCCCTGCTTGGGTGTACACATGTTTGCATGCTTATGCAACATTCAAAACAGCCCCACTTATGGCATCTCTTGTTGTCCATTGTTGTGATGTCTGCTCCTTATAAAAATGTGGTAGAAAGTCGAACTTAAGTGTAGGAAACATGTTTGCGCTCGCGCTTGGAGGCACTTATTGGGATAGGTACTTGAAATCTGAGCGTAACAACTTCCACTTCCAACACCTCCTATTATCGTGTGTGTAAGCTAGTATAAGTACGAGTTTAACCATCTTGGCTTTTACACATTTTGTTTCCACTCCCCTCTACCACCAACTACTGACTCTCTCTCTTTCCTGGCCCCCTTTGGTTGTATGTACCATCAGGCATCTATCAAGTAACAATTTCAGTGGTTCGATTCCATCCACCATCGGCAACATGATCAGCCTTGAATACCTGTCCGTATCCAAGGAATTTAATCGATAACTCTCATTTGCATGGCTAATGATTCCTGCAACTACAGATTAAGCTGGATTTGGGCTTCGCTAAGCAGGTATACTTTGGTCCACAGGACTGAACCACTTTGCACTTTGAAACTCAAGGCCGGGAAGGGAGGCGGTGCATGGCAGTGACCAAAATTGGCAGGGCAGTTGCGAGGGAGATCTCTCCCGCCCGCGGTGACGCATCACCAGTCCAGCCTGCCACTCACAGTGGTTTCCTCCTATGTACTAGGGTCTGCCCCCGATCTCTACACTTTAGCCTCACAATAAAGTCCTGCAATGTTCAACAATATGATAAACGGGCTAGGGAGATTTATTTTGTTTCATGCGTGAGCACGATATTGAGAGTGATGTTTCTTGAAATCAAGCCAGCAGTGAAGGATGACGACCCACGGCCATGAGATATAGCTACCATAAGTTCGTCATACCAAATCCAACCATTCTCAAGCTGCCCTCATATTTGGTCAAACCTAAGTGAGCCTTAATAAAAAAACAGGAACCCTCTTATCAAACCTAAGGTAGCCCTTTTATAAATAATATATATATATATATCTTCCTAATCACACAGACATACTGACATTGGCAAGCCCGACCTATGATGGAGAGGACTGCCGCGCAAGGAGATAGGCTGGGGGTCGCCCACTAATTTGCACAAGGATGGCAGTACGCTGGTTTGATCCGTGTGGATCTGGCAAAGAGCACAGGACTGGCCATAGTACATGCCCTTTCTGCAGTGCAGAGAGATGACCGTGCTTGCAAACTGGCTGGCCCGATCATGCCGGACATGCAAGAAGTTCTGCAAGATCGGGCACAACCAGCCCGTTGGCGAGCCTGTTTGCAACAGAGGCTGGCCCGACCGTGCGTGCCTTAGTTCAGCCATATGAATATGCCTAATGCACTCATGACTCCCTTGCCTGGGAGTGTGCTTATGTTCCATTCACCCCCAGTCATGGCAGAAATCTAGTGTGTCACATCAAGGTTGTTTCAGTCCACAATGAGCTGACTCGCAGACCAGCCAAGTGGGCGGCTGATTTGGCCTGTGTAACATACGTGAGCCGGGACAAGCAGGCATGGTTCGTCGCAGTCCGTCAGATCAAATGTGAGAGAGATCTCTCCCGCTCGCCCATCGTGGTGAGAGATCTTCCCTCTGTGATGGGGATCGACAAAGCACTCACTAGTGGTGCAAATCACCGAAGACACAGACAACAATGGTGTCCTCTCAGCAGGGTATGACTTACAATTTGGGTGCCAGTTGCCACTGCCACTCACGTGGCCAAGCCATGTGAGGAACCTTGCCATCTACTCTGCCAACATGATCAAGCGAGTGAATACCTTGGATCTGTGGTGTGAACACATGGCTGGGTAGGGATATGGTGCACAACACAAGGATGATGATGACCAGCAGTGGCTGGCCAGGTGCGATGGAGATTGCTCTTTTGTATGTAAAGTATTTTGGACATCTTGACCTTGGACTTGGACATTTTGTATCCCCCTTCATGGCCTTGGACATCTTGAACCACTGTAGGATGGACTAGATGTAGAAGGAATGAGAGAGAGAGAGAGATGGTGCGAGCTGCGTGATTGCGCCGAGTCTTCAAGCCAAGGTAGTGGCGAAGCTCGCCGAGATCATTGCAAAGAAGGCAAGGTAGCGGCAAGGTTGGCGGAATCCTCAACAAGCATCACCAAGTCATCCACGCATAGAGAAGGGTAAGGAAGAGAGAAGGTGCCGGTGCAGGTCATGGTCACAGTATTCCCAGCCCCATATATTGAGAGGGGGCAGGGATAGGAAAGGACGCTGGCATCATGAAAAGCAGAGTCAGTAGCAACACTGTTAATGAAAATATCTAAGGGGGGGGGGGTAAGGGGGGGGAGGGGGGGGGGGGGGGTAAGGGGAGGGAGGGGGGGGGGAGGAACGGAGGGGTGGGGAACTTAGGTGGGGGGGACGAGGGGGGGGGGGTGAACGTGGGGGGGGAACAGGGGGGGGGGGGGAAACGGGGTTGGGGGGAGGGGTGGAGAGGGGGGGGCGGGGGGTAGGAGGGAGGTTCAACGGCGAGTAGGAGTAGTGTTGCAAGGGTAAGAAGGGGCAGCGGATGCAGCAGAGGGCAAGGAGGGGGAGGGGGGGGGGGGGGGGGGATGGGTAAAGAGTGTCAACGGGAGTTGTGTGTTGGCCCCGTCCTCGCTTGGGAGCCGACATCGTGGTCGGGTGTGAGGGGAGCAGCCGACCTGCAGCAGTGGGTGAGCTGGTTGACGAGGAGGTCGACCTGCACGGGGACCACTACACGGGCGTCGACTTCAGGGTGGCGCCGACTTCGGGGAGGTCGACTTGGGAGTCGGCCTGCGGAGGACGTCAACTTGGAGAAGCCGACTTCGATGGTCGGCTGACGGACTGCTGGTCGACCTGCGGGAGGTCGACTGGACCTGGTGGTTGACGAAGGAGGGGCCGACGTCGACCTCGACTCAAGACGCCGAGCAGTTGGGAGTCGAGTAGCGGGGCGTTAACTTCGTGACGCCGACTCCTGGTGGCCGACGTGGGTGGTCGGCCGACAACTGCGCTGGCCGACTTGGTGGTTAGTCGACCAGAAGGAACGTCGACCTGGAGGAGGTCGACTGATGGAGATGGTTGTCGACTTGGGAGGTCGAAGGGCACGTACGGGAGCTGCTGGTCGACATGGTTGCCCGGTCGACCATGTTACCTGGGTGACGAAGTGCCGCGGAGGAGTGCGACGGTCGCCCAGGCGAAGTTGGCGAGCCCGACCTCGGTGGTGGTATCCCGAGGTCGTCGTGGCGGATCAGAAGCAGTCGTCAGCCCGAGGTTGACGTGGTGTGTGCGCTGTACAGGTGACGAGGCTCTGCACGCCAATCATCTGCGCGCACCTGCGAAGCGGGTGCACTGCTGTCCTGCGTGAGCAACGTTGGCACGCCGTCGACTTTGCCTTGCTGGAGCGCGGTCGACCAAGTCGTGCTGGAACACGGTCGACCAAGCTGCGCTGGAAGTTGGCCGACCTGGATGCTTGCTCTAATGTAGTCTTGCTATGCCAACTTCATTGTACCATTGTTCTGAACTTTTCCTAGTGGAACTCTTGCCAATTTTCCCCGTAAACTAGCAAGTAGTGTGCGCACAAGGAAAACGACTAAGGAACAGAGAACGCAGAGATCACACGAGCACACGTGCCTAGCCCATAGCCTAGCTCCCATTGTAGTAGTTATCTCCGCAAAGAGGAGGTACAGCAGCAGGAGTAGGAGGGCAGCAGTGTAGAGGAAAAGAGGAAAGGGCATGAACGTTCTCCATAAGGGGGAGGAGCAAGAGCAAGGGAGAAGATGCGGGTAGACAAAGGAGGAGGGATAGCAGGCAGGGTAGTTGGCTGCTGCGCTGTGGGAGACACGAGAGGAGGAGGAACAGGGGTGAAATATTCAGCTGCTGCGCTGTGGGAGACACGAGAGGAGGAGGAACAGGGGTGAAATATTCAGCTGCTGTGCCGTTGAGGGGAGACATAAGTGGAGGCTGAATAGGAGCGAAGCTGTCAGCTGCTGAGCCGTTGAGGGGAGACACGAGAGGAGGAGGAATAACGTCAGGGAGCCTGAGGTGAGGAGAGATATAGTGGGGGAAGAAGGAGCACCGGCAACAACCAGCTACAGCAGATGCACAGAGGAGGGACGCGGAGGAAGCGATGAGAGAGAGGGAGGACACTGAGGAGAGAAAATTGGAGGAGGAGGATGACGAGATAAGTAAAGCACCATGAAATAACGTCGTGATAAATACCAGAGCGAGCTCTAGCCTACTTCAACACGCCTCGGGTCGATGTGGACAGGACGGGTCAGGAGAATGGCCATGTTTATGACGAACTGAACATGTTTGACCCAAACATCTAACACGTTCGGGTCGAACATTTTTGGCAAAAAAAAAAAAAAAAAAAAAAAAAAAAAAAAAAACGCCCTGTTCGGTTCACCTCGAACATGTACAATTCGAACTGAACAGGCGGTTAAGCTATTGCTCATGTCTAGGTTCGTGTATACCCAACCCGGCTGGGTGGTTTGTCCATGCCTAGTTTGGTGGCATCCTTCGCATGTGCTTCATAGCAATGGTTTGACCATATCTGTTAGAACTGGTTCTGATTTGTGGTTGCATTCACTATTTCTTTCCAACCATAACACCCTTTGCATGCTCTACAATCAGGTATCTTCACAGCAACTCTCTGAGTGGGTCTATTCCATTCACCATTGACAACATGAGCAACCTCGTTCACTTGTGAGTAGGACCAACGGATCAAGAAAGAGATCTAGCATGACCTTGCTTAGGTTTATAATGAGAGGTTCAACTTGTCTTGAGAATGAGCATACACGCTAGGCATGAGCACAGACTGGCATTGGGCTGAGCCAGGCCGCTGTCCCAGGGGCCAGCCTGGAGGGCGGCCTGTGCGAATGCGACTCGAGATCCATTGGAGTTGGTAGGTGTTCCTAAAGGCATTTAGTCCGCACCCTTTCATCCTATGCTCCCACCGTGACCTGTCACTGCTGCCACTCACACTAATGATGTGACCTCCTTGGAAGCAGGATTTCCCGCGAGTCTCTCCACATTAGCCTCTCTATTTGGTCTTGCAATGCCCAGGGAAAAAGATACATTGGCAAGTGAGATTCTGAATATTCTATATATGGTTGGATAACAAAAACAATAACCTGGAAGATCAAGTATCGAATCCAACCTTTCTCAAGCCGTTCCTTCAAAAAAATCAGCCCTATACTACTTGTAAGCTCACCTTTCCCTATGAAGTGACATCTTGTCGCCAACCTGTCCTTCTCAAGATTTATCTGTTCGAACACCCTTCAAAATGCCACTCGATCAAGATCTGCTCGAGCAAAGTTGTAAGCATATCACTTCTCCAACCAACCTGAGTATCACTTTTTGGCCACACACATTCCTTCCATAACTAGGTAATTCTGTCACTCCCCTAAGAACAGGAACTTGTAGTCCCTCTTGCCATAGCTGTTGTAACCATAATTCGGCCCGCGCGTCCCCGCCCCGACTCAGTCTCTGTTCCTACCTACCTGCAGCTCCGTCCTGACAAAGCCTAGGTTATGAGGCCTCCTAACAAACCGGGCCTCCATGAGTTTATTCTTATGCACATTGACAACCATCTCCACTGTTTAAGCATCTAGTTAGAAAATGCTAACATTTGGCTATACAGGCAGAGCTCGTACCATCTATGCACCATACGTATAGTCGGTTATCAACTTTGGCCACTGGTCATCATTGATATGCAAGCTATACTCCTCGCTATCTTTGGGTTATATATGTTGATGTGCTTGTGCAGCATTTGAGACCAGCACCTCTTATGATATCCCTTGTTGTCCATTCTGTAATATCTTCTCTTAACTAGATTCTGGTACAGATTCGATGTTGAATTTTAGACATGTTTCTGTTCACACTTGGAGGTACCTACTGTTAGTGTTAGCCCTCAATCTCACACTTTGTACTTAGTATTTTCTATATCCTAGAGTAGTGTAGTTTGCACTTTGTGTTTGGTTGGGTGTACACCTACATCCCAACCAAACCCAAGTGTAATTTCCAAGCTATCTCCAACCCACCAATTGGAGATTGCCTTGGGATTACCCCCAATCCCTTGGGATTGCCCCCGATTCCCTTCCCCATCCATTCCCTACCCTTCTTGGATGTACTTAAAGAGCTTCAAGCTCATTACTAATGCATCGCTTCTAAGCCTAAGTTGTGACATGGTATCAGAGCCATACATCCGCACATGCGGATCGTGATCCTCCTGTCTATGCGGATGTTCTTCTCGCAAACCTCGGCATAGCCTCCTTCAATCTCGTCGCCGTCGATTCGCGACATTCGTGGGCGGAAACTCTCGCGCACCACTTTCTCGTCAACTTCGACAACGTCTTCAAGTTCTATGGTATGCTCATCGACGTCGCTCTAACTTATCGTTCCTTTTTTCGTCATCACTCAATTTCGTCACCGCGTCACCTCTTCTCGTCGGGCCGTCGCCCGTCGCCCCGCAACTTCTCGTCGGGCCGCCGCCCGTCGCCCCGCAGCTTCTCGTCGGGCAGCCGCCCGTCGCCTCGCAGCTTCTCGTCGGGCCGCCGCCCGTCGCCCCGCAGCTTCTCGTCGGGCCACCGCCCGTCGCCCCGCATCTGCACTTCTACCCCCATTCCCTTTTTCCCGTAGCTGAACAGGTGTAGCAGCGCAGCCGAGCAGCAGTGCAGCAGTGCAGCCGAGCAGCAGAGTAGCCGCGAAGCCGTGCAGTAGCGTAGCCGCGAAGCTGAGGGTGGTGTGTGGGGGGGGTGTGTGGGATTAGGGTTAGATCTACGGAAGTTGGCCGATTTTACCTAGTTTTGGCGGCCTAGAAAATCCTACTACGAGGCATCCCGACGCGGTCGACATTGACTTAAGAGCGGCGCTTCGCGCGAGACACCAAGGGATCTCTATCATGACCTTCACCGTGTCCACCATGGCCAACCCCATCACCCCACTCCGTCTTGAAGCCGTTGGCTCTAGCTCCAACTTCAAGGCATGGAGCTATGGAGTTGACAAGCACCTACTGAGCTGCGACGTGCATGGATTGGACCTCAAGGATGTCCTCCTCAACCGTGGCAAGGGAAAACAACCCCTTCTCCCTTGTGAGCCGACCGAGTCCGCTAGTGAGGCTGACACAAGGGCATATGAGGAAGCCGTTGAGAAGTACCGGAAGTGGGAGAAGGTCGATGCTGCTATTTTCAGCGTCTTCATCGCCTCCACCCCCCCAGAACTTGTCAACACGTTCCATAACTACCCTACCTCCAACGCCATCTGGAAGTATCTCCAAGATCGGTTCATGAACAAGACTGCAGTCGGAGTTGCCATCTTCATCCCCAGCATGTTCCAGGTCCGCCTTGAGGATTGCTCAAGAATGGCCGACTACATTGCCAAGGTTCAGACCATTCATGGCGAACTCAAGGAGCTGGGAATAGTCTTCCCCGAACAGGCCCCTGCAGCAGCTTTTCTTGTTGGCCTCACCACAGCCTACGAAATCACAAGGAAGATGCTCCTCACGCTGACTGCGGAAGACCTCACTTTTGCCAAGGTCTCCACCGCACTCCTCTCTGCCGAGAAAGACTCCACGGCTCAAGCCAAGGCCTACGCCATCCGTGCTCCCATGCCTCAAGCAAGTGTCGCAGCGGCCCTTGCCTCGGCGCCCTACCTGCGCAACCGCTTCCCACCGTGCACCTACGTCGTCAAGTATGGCAACCGCAAGGGACAAGTGTGTGGTGGCACTAACCACCCCTTTGCTACGTGCTTCAAGAAGAAAGACGACGAATGGTACGCCATCCACGGCATAGACAAGAGGTCACCGAACTGGATGCGTGCGCGTAAGGCCAACCCGGTTGAGGTCCAGGACCCCGCTTCGGCTAGTGCTAGTGATAGTGCTCCTGCTGATGTGCGTATCAACGTGCTGTTCCCTGGCACTGCCATGATTAATGAAGCTTCCTCCCGGTACCTTGGCTCATCACAAGCACCACAATTTATAGAGTTCACACTCGAGAGTGGCGCCACTCACACTGTGCTCAAGGAGACACTCTCCTTCAAACCCTACGCAACACCAATCCCTCTTCTAGGAGCTGATTCAAGCTTCACCACTCTTGCCAAGGGTTCATCCACAGTCCCGTGCCCCGCCTTCCCTTCCGTCACTGTCACTAGAATGTGCGTGCCTTCACTCCGCCACAATCTCGTGGCGAGCAAGGCCCTCCAGATGAAAGACCTCGGTGACCTCAAGCACTACCAGGGGATGGAGATCACTCGTGATCGCCAGGCTTGCACCATTTCACTCGCCCATGAGTTCTACATCGACAATGTGCTCAAGCGGTTTGAGATGGAGCTGTGCACACGTGTTGCCACCTCGCTGTTGCTTCAACACCTCCTCACAGCTCTAGCTGTACCCACACCAGAGGCCTGCTCTGAGCCATACCCGGAGCTTGTTGGGTCCCTCATGTACGCCATGATGTGCACCCGGCCGGACTTGGCCTATCCTGTCAGTGTCCTCTCTCGCTACGTGGCCCCTGGACGCTTCACTGACCTTCACTGGAAAGCAGCGAAGCGGGTGCTGCGCTATCTTCAGGGCACCAAGTCTCACGTTCTCACGCTCGGTGGGCTCTCCCCTCCTCGCCTGGAAGGTTACACGGACTCCTCCTGGGCTGATGACCAGACCGACCGACGCTCCTCTCAAGGGTACTGCTTCACCCTTGGGAGCGGAATTGTCAGTAGGGATGAGCAAAGGGCGAACACGAACATGTTCGTCTTTGCCCCTTGTCGAACACCCTCTTTTGCCGAACCGAACACTGTTCGGTTCGGCGAACAGTTTAGGAAAAAACAGGTGTTCGCTGTTCGCCTGTGGAGGCGTGTTCGGGCGAACCTCGAACACTGTTCGTGTTCGTCGCGGGCAAATTTCAGCAGCGGCCCGAACACGAACGTGTTCGGGCGAACATCGAACACTGTTCGGCGAACGATTTGAGCTAAAAAACAAAACCTGTTCGGTTCGCCTCGAACGTGTTCGCCACCTTGCTCATCCCTAATTGTCAGTTGGCGCTCCACCAGGTCGTCTGCAGTCTCCCTCTTCTCATGTGAGGCAGAGCTCTACGCAGGCACCATGGCTGCTCAGGAGGCCCGTTGACTCACCTTCCTACTCCAAGAGCTTGGTTTCCCACAGTCTACCCCCACCCTCTGGTGTGACAACCAGAGTACCATCCACATCTCTCAAGACCCTGTGTATCACACCGGCACCAAGCATATTGAACTCCGGCACTTCTTCATCCGTGACCTTGTCCAGCAGGAGCAGTTGAAAGTGGAGTACGTTGCATCTGACTCCAACCTGGCTGATCTGTTCACCAAGCCCCTTGCGAAAATTCCTCACCACCGTCTCCTTGGCGCCATGGGGCTCTGTGCTCCACATTCTCTGCCCTGAGTTCGATTGACGCCTATGGGGGGGTGTTAGTGTTAGCCCTCAATCTCACACTTTGTACTTAGTATTTTCTATATCCTAGAGTAGTGTAGTTTGCACTTTGTGTTTGGTTAGGTGTACACCTACATCCCAACCAAACCCAAATGTAATCTCCAAGCAATCTCCAACCCACCAATTGGAGATTGCCTTGGGATTACCCCCAATCCCTAGGGATTACCCCCGATTCCCTTCCCCATCCATTCCCTACCCTTCTTGGATGTACTTAAAGAGCTTCAAGCTCATTACTAATGCATCGCTTCTAAGCCTAAGTTGTGACAGATCTAACCTTTTTTTTTTTAACCTACAGGATATTCTTACTACTTCCATGCCTTGCCTTGACAGCTTCACTCTATTACCCCTTCCTCCCCCCCCTCCCCCCCCCCCCCTCCTAGATCCTAAACATTAGTGCTTGCATGTGGTTATGTTGCGTTGTCCATGAGAATTTGATCATACTGTTTGTAGGATGTTTAGTAGGCAAAACTTTAATTTAACACTATACGTTGCATGTACACATGAGGAAGAAAACCATATATGCTGGAAAAAAAAACCCGTAAGGTACAAACGGGTCGTTGATACCCGTCCCATGTACAGGTTGACCCGCTACGGGTCACAATCGACCCGTACATGTATAGACAGGACGGGTCACTAAAAGAGCCAGGTCAGCTACCCGCGGGTCGACCCGACCCGTACCCGCACCCGTCGCGGGTCACCTAAACGGGTACGGGTCGACCCGTCCCGGCCCGCTGCCCATGTCTACTCTGCGCCAATGTCTGCATCAGCAGGGGAATCTTCTCCACGAGGAAATGCTGCCACTCCCCTCTAAATCCTGGATGTGAGAGAGGGATGTTGTAATCTGTTCCTACTCACCCATAGCCCTATTGGTAGCTACGCCCTCAAGTATAGATGGAACATGTGTCACATGGCCTTTCTAACAGAGCTACGCCTTTTATGGTATCTCTTAGTGTCCATTCTTGTGATATCTGGTGTCTACAAAACAGTGTTACAACTTCAATATTGAAGTATAGATATCATGTTTGTGCTCACAGTTGGATGGGTACCTACCTCGTGTCGCATCCACATATCAACGTGACATCTTTCACTTTGCTAGCCACCCATAACCGCTTACTAGTATTTGTGTCATTTGTTATTATATGTTGACACATCATTACTTCTTCAAACTTCGTTTCAAACTTTCTCTCCCTTGGATATCTCTTCGTGTGTATGTACCATCAGGTCTTTGCGAAACAATAGTTTGACTGGGTCTATTCCATCCACTCTCGGCAACAAGAGCAGCCTTTTTTACCTGTCAGTAGTAAGACAATTTGGTTGCAATCTCTCCTTTGGCTTTAAAGTCTTTGATTCATTCATTCAACTACAGCTTAAGCTGGTTTCTGGTTTGAGTATAAAGGCTCATGCTATGCATGAGCATGGAGAACAGGGGCCAGCCCACTAGGGCCATCGAGGCCCATCAGCAGTAAAGGGTCGGTTTTGGGGCCATCTATGGGGGGTCCATCATAGGGGCTTCACACTAAACCATGCGAAGTTAAGAACTCCCCACCTGATCAGCAACAATTAGCATCTTAACTGCCAAATTCGTGTGGGTGTGGCTTCGAACACGCCTATCTCAGGCCGTGACAGGGAACAAAAGTAGACCTCCTTGCAGGAAGGCAGCCGAGGTCCGTCTGATGGCCAAATTGCTACTTGAAAGGTAAGAAGGTCGGCCTTACTCCGGCCCTAGACTCATGTCTAATGCATTTGTTCCTGCCCTTGCCTGAATCACTCAGTTGAGTCGGAACAAGCTTTGCCTGCAACTAAGCTTCATGACAAAAGGTCGCAATTTGTCCTGATCAGCATTTGCCACCATCGGAATTGTCCCCCGAAAGGCATGGAAGGCGAAGATTTTGCATGAATATCGAACCAAGACTTGTTTCGGGTAGCAATGAGACGGTGATCTGATGAGCCTAGGAGGCTTCATGAGCAAGGCATGCTAGGCATGAATCATGATCAAGAAGAGTCGGGCCAGCCCAATTTGGGCCACTGATGCCCGTCAAGGTCAATGGGTCAGTTTGACACCAAGCCTATTTGAGGTCCATCACATGGTGACTGGCAGGGACTGTCCACTGACCCACACAACTTTGAGATCCACCCGGGTTGGCCATT